GAGGATTTTTACATCTGTTCATGAGATTTATTAGTAGTTTTCCTTTCTTACACTGCTTTTGGTTGTGGTTTTGGTTTTGTATTGGGGTAATGCTGGCCTCATAGAATGAGTTAGGAAGATTGCTTCTGTTTTCTAGAGATTGTGCAGAATTGCTATCATTTCCTCCTTAAATTTTTGCTATTCACCAGTAAAATTACCTGAGCCTAGTGCTTTCTTTTTTGGAAGGTTAATTAGTGACACAATTTGTTTACTAGATACAGGCCTTTTCAGGGATGAAATAGGGTATATCATTATAGATGTATATCAAAAGGATAAGAAGAAATACTATGAACAGTTCTATACACATAAATTTGATAACTTCGGTGGAATGGACTAATTTCTCAAAGTACAAACCGTCAAAACTCACCAAGATGAAATAGACAATTTCAATAGCTGTACACCTGTTAAGGAAATTGGATTCATAATTTAAAATGTCCTGAAAAATAAATCTCCAGACTCTGATGGTTTTACTGGAGATTTCTACTAAATGTTTAAACAAGAATTAACACCAGTTCTGTATAATCATTTCCAGAAAATAGGAGACCTTGCTCAATGTTTTTATGAAACTGGTATTACCCTCATATCAAGGCCCAAGATAATACACAGAAAAAAGAAAACTATAAACCGATATTCTCATGAATACAGATAGCAGAAGTTGCTAATGAAATATAGACTTGAGTACCAGAAGGTCTTAGCATTATATAAAAAGAAACAAACACCATCACTAAGTGGAGTAAATTTAGGGAATGCAAGACATGTTCAATATTCAGAAATCAATCAATGTAATCCACCATATTAAAAGGTTAAAGAAGGAAAATTACATGATTACACCAATAGATGCAGAAAGCTTTTGACAAAACTCATCACCCATTCATGATAAAAACTCAGAAAACGAGGAATAGAGGAAAACTTCTTAACTTGACAAAGAATGTCTACCAAAAAATCTACAGCTGACATATTTAGATGCTTTCCCCCGACACTGGGAACAAAGCAAGGATGTCCACTATCGCCACTACTGTTCAGTATAGCACTAGTTCTAGCTAATGCGATAAGAAAAGAAAAGAAACGAAAGGCATACAGATCAGAGAGAAATAAAACTGCTCTTATATGCAAACATCATGTATCTAGAAAATCTTGAATCTATTATAAAATCTTAGAACTAATAAGTGAGTTCAACAAGGTTGCAGTATACCAGATCAACATAAAAAGTTTCAGTCACATTTCTGCATGTTAGTAATGAGCATGTAGAAACTGAGATCGGTTTAAGTTAAATACTAGTTTTGTGAAAATTACAAAACACTGATAAAAGAAATCAAAGAAGATATAAATAAGTGAAAAAACATACTGTGTTCATGGATTGAGAGACTCAATATAATAAAGATGTCAGTTCTCTTCAAATTCATTTGCAGTTAACACAACTTATATTAAAATTCCAGCAAGATTTTTTTTTGTAGATGTACACAAGGTTATTCTAAAATTTATTTTAAAGTCAAGAGAGTTAAGAATAGATAAAACGATTCTGATAAGAATAAAGGGGGGAAGGTATCACTCTACCTGATTTCAAGACAATATAGCTACATTAATCATGACAGTCTGTTAGTGTCAGAGACAAAGACACTAGATCAGTAGATCAGAACAGAGAACTCAGAAATAGCCCAATACAAGCACAGCTGAGTGATTTTTGACAAAGGCACAAAAGCAATTCAATGTAGGGTGGATAGTCTAAAATGTTGCTGAAGCAGTTGGCTACCCATAGGCAAAAAATAAAGATCAAAATGAATCACAGATTTAAATATCAAACATTAAAGTACACAACTTTTAGAAGATAACGTAGGTAAGTCTTCAGGACCTAGGACTTAATGAAAAGTTATTGGTCATGACACCAATAGCATGGTCCATAAAGAAAAAGCTTGATAAATGATAACTCATGAAAATTCAGAATGCTTCATTTGATAAAAACTGTTGAGTGGATGAAAAGACAAGCTAAAGACTGGAAGAATATATCTGTAAACCACATATCTGACCAGTGACTCATATACAGAACATATAAAGAGTTCTCAAAACTCAGCATTAAAAGAAAATCCAATTAGAAAATGGGCAAAAGATAGGCAGAGACATTTCACTGAATAGTATATATGAATGGCAAATACACACATGAAAAAGTGTTTAACTTCACTAGTCTTTAAGGAAATGAAGACTATGATGAGATATCACCACACATCTATTAGGACAGCTTAAACGAAAAGTAACCATAATACCAAATAGTGTCTGGGATGTAAAAAAAAATGAATGTCTCTATACATTGTTGGTGTGAATATTAAACTCTAAAGCCACTTTAGAAAATAGCTTGTTTCTTAAACCACACATACAGCATTTTTAATGGCTTCATTTTTTAAGGCCATTAAGTTGTAACAATTTTTCTATCTTGATGATGGAGGAATGTGGCATATGAAAACACTGAGTTGAATATAGTAGAAAATTGCCTTTTATTTCTGTAACTCATGTTGTATATCATTGATATATTTTCTAGCTATGTTTGAATTTTTCTAACAATTTTCAGAAACTTATTTCCCATTTTCTAGGAAAGTAGTACAGTTCTGATGTTAGATTTGGGCTTGAGTTCCTGGTATGCTACTTTCTATCTGGGCAACCTTTTGTAAATTGTTTATCGTCTTTAAACTTAACTTCATAGAGTTGTTATGAGGATTAAATGATGTAATATATAGTATGTCTAGCGGTTGGTCAGTACAATGCCTGATAAACAACAAGCACTCAAAAACTGTTAATTTTTTATTCCTAGCCAGAAGAAGCCTTTCAGACTCAACAGCATGCAAATATAGTCCTATATACTGTTATTTTAGGGTGTTAATGAATACTCTGGAAATGTAGCCAATCACATGCTGTTTTGATTAGATGAATATAGTTTAAATGAGGGCTGGCAAGTTTTTGGAAGTGAAATGCCAAGCTTCAGTCATTAACCACCTTCCCATCTCACTCTGTTCTCAGAAGCTGCTGTAATGTGAAATAGTGGCAGAGATGCCCTTGAAGATACTGCTGGCTGATGCTGGGCCAGACTTAGGTTTCTGTTACTTCATGAGAATCATCTGTGATTCTTCTCTCCTCCTTTCTGTATACATTTAGTTGGTCGCTTAAGTGTTGCTACTTGATCCCCTTAATATTTATCTGACTCACATCTTCATCTTGCCTGCCACTCTTGCAAGTCAGGTGTTCATCATTTCTCATTGCACTTAACTATAAAAGCTCCCTAACCAGTTAGTCTTCCTGCTTCCTAACCAGTTGGGATTTTGCCCTCCCGCTCATAACAGAGGTAGCTTTCTAAAATGCAAATTTGATTGTCAGCAAGATTAAGAGCTCTGACTATGGAATAGAACTCCTGGGTTCAGATCCCATCTCTGCCTTCTGTGATCCTGGGCAGATTCTCTGTGCCTTAGTTTCTTCATTTATAAAGAAAAGAGTAACTTCAAATCTGACCCACAGTCACCTGGAAAGATTGCTAGAAATACACTGCCTTGCTCCCCCTCCTCAGTTTCTGGTTCCCTAGATTTGGGGTGGGGTCAAGAAATCCATTGCTTACAAAAAGTTTCTCTGTTGATTCAGGTGCTCTTTTATGAGTCCTCCTGAGGACAATGCACTTTATTCCCTGTAGATTTTTGTCCTCATTGTGTCTGATATGCACACCCCCTTTGCCTAGCTAACTCCTGTTCCACCTCTTTCAGTACTTGGTTCCAGGCTTCTCCTCTGCTAGGAAACATCTGACTTTCTCATTTTGGATTTGGTGCTCTAGGAAGTCACCACCAGTGCAGCAGTTCACTGTTCTGTGATCCTCCTCAAATACACTGGCTAAGATATAGGACAAAAGGAACGTTTCACTTCTGGCCAACTATTTGTATAAGCATTAGATTCCCTTACTTCATGGCACTTACCATTTTGCAATTCCTGCTTTACTGGCTTCTATTAAGCTTCTTGAGAATCCTGTCCTCAAATGCCTTGTTATATAATCTTAAAATTATATTTATCATATAATTAAAAGTTATTCTCTTTAGAAAGTCTTTTTGCTGAAATGAATCATCTTTATAACAAGGTGTCCATCAGTGGAGGCATGTTACATGAGATCTTTGTTTTCTCATTCCGTCATTTATTTGGATTCATCCACCTTTTCTACTTACACATCTCAGACTGACTGGTCTCCTTGGTTTTCTGTAGGTTTTAGCTGGAAGTTAGTTTGGTTTTCTCCACATGATATTGGTAGATGAGGACGTTGTGGGATGGAACCGGAAACAAAACCAGGAATGTAAAAGATTGTGAGCAGATTTGGTTCTGGATTTTGGGGTGTTTTATGTGTTTTTAGTGAATCATTCCTAATTCATCTAGGTTTGGATGTGTGGTCATGTTTTGTTCAAGGCATTCAAACTTTGTGCATCTTAATTTTCCCATTGGTAAAAAGAGATAGACGAGGTGATCTCTAAAGTTCCTTCCAGCTCTAAAATCTCTGGTGTTCCAGGCAAAAATGGATAGGTGTCCAAATATTTAGATATTGTTATTAATAATCAAGTACTAAGGCTTGTTTTATCATTTAAGTTCTCTTCATTTTATAAATAACTCCATTTATACACAGACACAAAAAACTTTAGTATCAACGAAAGTTAATTTCCTTTTCTTGATTACCTAGATTTTTTTCCTGGAGCTCTTCATCATAGGTCTTTCTGATTTGAGTGTTTCTCAGAAACTTTATTGAGTCAGATGCAGGGAATCTGATGAGTAGCTATAACCCAACAGTGTCATGGAAAGAACTTGACAAATGATTTTTCTCACTGGGCTGCTAATGCATGAAGAAGGCTAAAATGGTAAAAAAAAAAAAAAAAAAAAAAAAATTATCTGTAAGTGAATGTAGTAGATTATTTTTGTCTTGAGTAACATTTATATCTTTGTTTCCATTTAAGTGCCAAAGATGATGCTGATCTTGATGCCTTGGCTGCAGAAATAGAAGGAGCTGGTGCTGCCAAGGAACAGGAACCTCAAAAGTCAAAGGGGAAAAAGAAAAAGGAGAAAAAAAGGCAAGACTTTGAGTAAGTATATTTTAAATATATTTGATTTTTATTAGCTCTGGGACTTGATTCACTTATTAAACTAATCCATTGCCTCAAAATGTATTTTAATCCTTTTCTAGTGAAGATGATATCCTGAAAGAACTGGAAGAATTGTCTTGGGAAGCTCAAGGCATCAAAGCTGACAGAGAAGCTGCTGCAGTAAAGGTGAAAGACCAATCCGGTTACCATTCATGCTTCTTAGTGCCAGTTGTACGGAGCTGCTTTTGGAAAGTTTCAGCAATGTGTATATAGTTAGTTAAAGTTTCTATAAATTCTAATGTCAAAGAAGGAAAACAATTTTTAGGAGAGAATGTGTTTTAGAACCTCCAAAAGATATAAACTTATTTTATTTGGGAATCCAAATATGTGGTATGTTGTGGTATGTTGTCTGTTCATAAAATTGGTACATTTGGATATATAGCGTTTCCCATCTTCACCTCCAATTTTCTATATTCTTTCTTTTTCGTTCTTTGAATTTGGATAAACCTCAAAGTAATGGAAAAGCAGTAGATATTTTTTCTTCTTTTAATTTCCTCCTTAGGCTTTGTGCATCATCTGAAGAAGGTAGTAAATGTGGACTGGTGGTTAGTCCTTGATTCAGTGCACCTGGGTTCTGAAGTGTACAGTGAATGTGAGATGTGCCTGAGGCCTTGGCTAGCTTTTGGTACTTGGTTGAATTTTATGTTCTTGTAAAAAGGACCTTATTTTGAAATTACTTTGAGAATTGTTTCTTTGTGTAGTTAATGAAGTACATGACTCTGAGGAGTCTCAATTATTTTAAAAAATAAAACATAACTCTCTTAATATATCTAACAATGGAAATTTTTTAGCCAACAGAAAATAATGAAGAAGAATCCACCTCAAAACAAGATAAAAAAAAGAAAGGACAGAAAGGCAAAAAACAAAGTTTTGATGATAATGATAGTGAAGAGTTGGAAGATAAAGATTCAAAATCAAAAAAGACTGCAAAACCAAAAGTGGAAATGTGCTCTGGGAGTGATGATGATGATGATTTCAATAAACTTTCTAAAAAAGCTAAAGGGAAAGCTCAGAAATCAAATAAAAAGTGGGATGGATCAGAAGAGGATGAGGATAACAGTAAAAGAATTAAAGAGCGTTCCAGAGTAAATTCTTCAGGTGAAAGTGGTGATGAATCAGATGAATTTTTGCAGTCTAGGAAAGGACAAAAAAAAAATCAAAAAAATAAGCCAGGTCCTAATGTGGAGAGTGGGAATGAAGAGGACGACTCCTCCTTCAAAATTAAGACAATGGCCCAAAAGAAGGCAGAAAAGAAAGAGCGTGAGAGAAAAAAGCGAGACGAAGAAAAGGCAAAACTGCGGAAGCTGAAAGAAAAAGAAGAGTTAGAAACTGGTAAAAAGGATCAGAGTAAACAAAAAGAATCTCAAAAGAAATCTGAAGAGGAACCTGTAAAATCCAAAGTGACTCTTGATGCTGGAGCAGCCCCTGCCTCTGAAGAGAAAGGAGAGACTCCCACAGCCGCTGAAGGTTGGTAATGTTATCGAGGAAAGGACAAAAGGCTTGGATTCGTATTTAGTCTAAGTTTTGGTCATTATGTCCCAGTCACTTTATTTGTCCTTGGTTATAAAGGTACTTAATTGTAAGAATCCTTTTAAAAATTACATGTAAGTACTCTTTGAATTGATTTTTATTTTGAGCATTTTAGATATATCATATAAAATATCTTTCAAATGGTTTGCACACAGATTAGGACTTTTATAAAATATCACTGAAAAACAATTTTTTGCTGTTGATAAAGACTGGAAGTTGCCCAATGTAAAATCTGTTCTTCCTTTTGATAACTCAGTGTCACATAATATCTGAATTCTTTCCTGCTTTTAAAAATCCAGTTCAGTCTATGAAATAGAAAATAAAAACTAAAATAAGTTAAAATCTTCTAAGCAATAGTGAGCCATGTTTTTGTACCAGAACCAACTAATAATAAGCTTTCTGGTTAAGTTTCCCTCTCTTATTCAGAAAGAAAATAAAGATCAAATGATTGACATAGTTTTTCTTTAGACTCGAAAACTTTTTTTTTTTAATTTTCTTTTTCCTTCTTCCCAAAGCCCCCCAGTAGATAGTTGTATATTCTAGTTGTAGGTCCTTCTGGCTGTGCTGTGTGGGACACTGCCTCAGCATGGCTTCTTGAGCGGTGCTAGGTTTCAAACCGGCAAAACCCTGGGCTGCTGAACTGGAGCATGCGAGCTTAACCACTCGGCCACGAGGCTGGCCCCGAGACTAGAAAACTTTTAATGGGAAAATTGACATAGGTTTTTTTTTTTTCCTTTTTCTCCCCAAAGCCCCCCGGTACATAGTTGCATATTCTTTGTTGTGGGTCCTTCTAGTTGTGGCATGTGGGACGCTTCCTCAGTGTGGTTTGATGAGTGGTGCCATGTCCGTGCCCAGGATTCGAACCAACGAAACACTGGGCCGCCTGCAGCAGAGCGCGCGAACTTAACCACTCGGCCTCAGGGCCAGCCCCTTGACATAGGTTTTTTAACCACTCAAATTTTTATTATCTGGACATCTTTGAGGAGAAATACCATGAAAGTAGCTTCATAATCTTTAATTCCATAATGCTATAGAGTTCTTGGAATATAATTATCTCCATTTTTGTATTTTTGTCCTCCTAATATACCCTCAAGGTGGTTTAGGCATCATTCTTGTCATCCCCATCTTAAAGAAGCAAAACGAACTACAGAAGTTAGGCAGGAATTCAGACATTGTGAATTAAAAGATACGTTAGAATACAGTATGTCTTCTCCCACTGACAGGATCCTCTTGTCTTCTTGCATCCTTCAGGACAACTCAGACCAACACCAGCATTGTAGGCTTTTAAGGAGGTGAACATTGAGTGTTTCTGAGCTGTTCTGGGTACTCAAGTTCCCAAGTGCTCAAGATGCCTTGATGAGACCCTAGCCTGCTGCTAGCATCAGCCTTGTCACATTATGGTCCTTGAATTCTGAGGTTTGTTCATCATTGCCTTAGGAAGTAACTTTCTTTGTTCTTTTAACTCTGCCTCTGTTTTTTTGTAGATGATAATGAAGGAGACAAAAAGAAAAAAGATAAGAAGAAAAAGAAAGGAGAAAAGGAAGAAAAAGAGAAAGAGAAGAAAAAAGGACCTAGCAAAGCCACAGTTAAAGCTATGCAAGAAGCTCTGGCCAAACTTAAAGAAGAGGAAGAAAGACAGAAGAGAGAAGAGGAAGAACGTATAAAACGACTTGAAGAATTAGAAGCCAAGCGTAAAGAAGAGGTATGTTTTCATGAAGTTGCTGACATCAGCATTGTGTTTAACTTAAAATCTGTTCTCTATAAAATCTCTCTAACCTTCTAATTCTAAGAATTGCCTAGTTGTATGGTAATTCAGTTACATTATTGTTCTGATACAAATAATAAGATGAAAAGGTACAGAAAATCCTACCTTTATTTCCTCAGGTACAGACAGAAATTGCTTATATATTATTACCAACACATAGTTTACTCTCATGTAATATTAATTAGTAATCATTCTGTACAACATTTAAAATATTTTCATTTGGAGTCTTCTAACATAGTAGTTTACATATATCTTACGAGCTTTGAAGTTTGGGTTTTTTACATTTAAATTTTTTAATCCATTAACCTAATCCAATTTTTGTCTGATATGTACCTTTTTATAGGAAAGATTGGAACAAGAAAAAAGAGAAAGGAAAAAGCAAAAGGAAAAAGAAAGAAAAGAACGCTTGAAAAAAGAGGGGAAACTTTTAACTAAATCCCAGAGAGAAGCCAGAGCCAGAGCTGAAGCTACCCTTAAACTTCTACAAGCTCAGGGTGAGTAGTATTGTTAAGTAGCTGAACAATCTGGAAGCTTCTCTCATGTAGTTGTACCTCTATAATCGTCAAAAGGAGAATGGAATCAGAAGGAGAATTCCTATGAAAATGCTATGAAAAAGTCCAATAAAAATGTAAGGAATAGTTGAGATAATTTTATTATTTAGGGTAGCTGACTTCTATACTGTGATAAAAAATTTATGTGTAAATGATAGTATGGATAGTATGTCTATAAATAAGGTTTTTTGTCCTCTGAAATAAACAAAAAACAGGGAATATAGTAAAATGAGTCCCCATGTACCCATCACTGCCTTAGTGTGAGACCATGTCAGTAACCCAACAGAGGTGAGAGGAACCTCTATTAGTAGTTTGTTACGGGAAAGGAGAGGAAGGATTGCAGTAGAGAGCCATTCCATTTGTAGTGCTCTCTTTTTTCTGGGATTTCACCATTACCTGTTAGACTAATGAAGATGTATTCTCCTCAGACTCAGTAATGTTACTTGCAAATCAGTTTTGACATTGGTTTGCTCTGCCGTGTCTTAATTTGACAAAATTTATTTATTTGCTCTATTTAGGAGAAAAATATTAGAACAGATGTTCAAAACTGGATAATAACAACCATGAATTCAAATATGAACAAATTACGGATTTGATATTAACGTTTTCATTTTGGATAAGTCACTTTTTAATTGAATCTTACCTTTTTTTTGGTAAGATTTTGTTTTTCTTTTTTCTCCCCAAAGCCCACCGGTAAATAGTTGTATATTTTTAGTTGTGGGATATGGGATGCCGCCTCAGCATGCCCTGATGTTCCATGTCCGGCCCAGGATTCGAACGGATGAAACCCTGGGCCGCCGGAGCACGGAAGCTTAACCTCTCGGCCACAGGGCCGGCCCCTGAATCTTGCTTTTATTTGCTTTTAACCAGCTGTGAAAGCTGGCCATATTGGCAAAAAATGGACTTATTAACTTCATTTTGTGATGGTAATGAGAACTTCTGTTATGCTTAGTTTGTTTTCTGTTTCTGCTGAACATGTTATCACAAATTTAGTGGCTTAAAACAACACAAATTTATTATCTTACCGTTCTGTAGATCTGACATGGGTCTCACTGGGCTAACGTGCCAGCAGGGCTACATTCGCTTCTGGAGTTTTTAGGAGAGAATCCATTTCTTTGTCTTCTTCTGGAGGCTACCCACGTTCCTTGGCTCATGACCCCTTTATCCATCTTCAGAGCCACCCACCTTACGTCACTCTGACCATTTTTCCATAGTTGCATCTTCCTCTGACCTCAGCGTGTACCTCAGTGAAAGTTCTTCACTTATAGGAACTCATGTGATTAGATTGGGCTCACCTGGATAATCTAGGATGCTCTCTCCCATCTCCAGGTCCTTTTTGCGATGTTAGGTTACATATTCACATGTTCTGGGAATTAGGACATGGATATCTTGGGGGTGGGGGTGGGACGTTATTACCACACTTTAAAACCTATTTTTCATTTTATTTGTGGGTTCATTATCAATAAAATATTTATGAGTGTCATGTTTCACCGTATTTTTCTTTTTTTCTTTTTTAAAGATTGGCTCCTGAGCTAACATCTGTTGCCAATCTTCTTTTTTTTCTCCCCAAATCCCCCCAGTACATACTTGTGTATATATATAAAGATAACTCAAAATTCGACGATAAGAAAACCAACAACCCTATTTAAAAATGGGTAAAAGATTTGAACAGTAGTCCTTAGTAGTTTGCAGAACAATTCATCGAGATACTACAAGCATGTGAAACAAATGCTCAACATCATTTGTCACTAGGGAAATTCAAATTAAGACCACAATGAGATATCACTACACATTTGTTGGGATAAATAAATTAAAAAACAAAACAGCTGTCGTTACCAAATGCTGGCAAGGATGCAGAACAATTGAAACTCTCATCCATTACTGGTGGGAATGCAAAATTGTAAAGCCACTTTGGAAAACACTTGTCAGTTTCTTACAAAATTAAGTTCATATTTGCCTAATGTCCCATCATTCCCACTCCAAAATATTTACCGCAGAGAAATGTTGACACAAAAACCTGCATACAAATGTTCATAGCAGCTTTCTTCATAAATGTCAAAAACTAGAAAACTCAAATGTCCTTCAGCTGTCTGATGAATAAAGGAACTGTGGTACGTTATGTACAAGGAATGCTGTTCAGCAGTAAAAAGGAATGGAAGTAGTAGTACATACAGCAATGAGGATGACTCTTAAATCCATTATGATGACAACAGCCAGATTGTAAGGTTTCATTTCTGTGACATTTTGGAAAAATCAAATCTTTTGGAATGTAGAACAGATCAGTGATTGCTGGGGGCTAAGAATGTGAGTAGGATTTGATTACACAGAACAGCACAGGGTGATGAAATTGTTCTGCATCTTCATGGTGATGGTGGTTGCATATTCTGTGCATTTATCGAAAGTCATAGAACTGGACACCAAAAAAATGGAATTTTAATGTGTGTAAGTTTTAAAATACTTTATATAAAAAAGACTTGTGGGAGCTAGCCCAGTGGTGTAGTGGTTGAGGTTGCACGCTCTGCTTTGGTGGCATGGGGTTTGTGGATTTGGATCCCGGGCACAGACCTACACATTGCTCGTCAAGCCGTGCTGTGGTGGTGTCCCATATACAAAATAGAGGAACATTGGCAAAGATCAGTGATGATCTTCCTCAAGCAAAAAGAGGAAGATTGACAACAGATGTTAGCTCAGGGCCAGTATTCCTCACCCAAAATAAAGATTTGTCCACAAATGTTCTTTTGTATTTTAGAGTATGTATCTCCGAGGTGGATAAGATGTCATCTTTTTAGGTAGTATATTTTAGGTAACATGCAAATAATATCAACCTGAAGTTTTCCATTTTTATCCGTCAGGTGTTGAAGTGCCATCAAAAGACTCTTTGCCAAAGAAAAGACCAATTTATGAAGATAAAAAGAAGAAAAAAACACCACCACAGCTAGAAAATAAAGAAGGTTTGTATACAAAATGGCCTGTGATTTAGAAACAGTTTTGTTTGCCTTTTTCCCACAATCTTCAAAACAGAATGTCTTTTAAAAAGAAATCAACAAGTCAGAATCAGGTATTGAAACTTATTTCCTATACCTGTTTCTTATTGTTATCATTCTCAACTGATGCAAATGACAGGTTAATGGAAAAGCACTTTGAAAAATCTGAATCCTGCCTTATAAATAACTTAACTAAACTGAAAAGCACAACAATCATTCTTATTTTTTCTTTGTTTCCTTCTCAACCTTTTGTAATGTTATGTTCTATTCCTTGAACAGAAAGAAAAACCACTATTTCCTGTAAAATATAGGACTGATGTTTAAATGCTTTCTAAAGTTGCCAAAGAATTTAGTTTTGCACTTCTGGCTTTTATTCAGTACTTAACAGAGTATCTGACAGAAATTATGCACTTGAAAAAGTATTGTTAACTTGGTTTCTGCCCTTTTTTCAGTGTCTGAACCAACAGAATTAAGTGCTGCTGTAGAAGTTGTGGAACAGGGAGTACCAGAAAAAGAAGAGACACCTCCTCCTGTTGAACCAGGCCAGTAGCACTGACTAATTAATTCCTGTTAAGTGGCACCGATGTGTCATAAGTTGTCTTCATTATCATTTGTTTGAGGAAACCAAATATCTGGCAGGATGGCCTTCTTTCTTCATAATTCTTTCTTTTCTCTCATCCGTTTCTTTTTATTTCCACTGTGAAAAAGTGTGGAAGTGAGACTGCTTGTTCTTTTCAGTAGTGTCAGCAAAATGTTTTGTAGAGAGGGATAGAGGTCTTTGGATTTTCTCTGATGTTTTTATTTATGGGTCAGAAATCTTGAATGGTGCCAAGAAGACATGAAGTTCTTTATTTAATCTGTTAGAAGCAAATTGAAAGCATTTTTAATTAGAACTTTTCAAAAGTCATAAAAATTGTCTTCTTATTCATAAATTATCTGTGTGTGTGTGTTTTGAGGTTGGAGACTATATATATATATATATATATATTTTTTTTTTTTTTTTTTAAGATATTGTTCTATTTGTGGAACTAGATGTTGATAGAACCAGAGGCTAGCTAAATGTGTTTGGTAGTAAAATCAAGAGACTCTTCAGTGTTTAAAGAGAGGAGTAGGAGTGGGAACAGCTTTAGAGAATATCAAGACTGACCTACACTCATGACAGATATTATTGATACTTCCTTTTTTTCTTTTTCCCCCTCTTATTCTCAGTATAAAAATAATCATTTACCTGGTTACACCTCAGTTTAGCATGATGAAATTAGAGAAGTTTGGGTTGATATGCTTAATAGCAGTTCACTATTCTAGGTGATATTTGTAGCAGTAGAAAGAATTGCTAATTTAGAAGGATGTTTTGGGTACATGTACCTGACTCATTTCCTCCTCAAAATGACTTATCCAACTTGTTGGCAAATAATAATTATTACAGGGAGCAAATACTGTATGTCCCACCTTTATCTTCCTTTTATTTGAGAATAGTTTTGCTTGATTGGATTTCAGTTAAAAGAGAGTCATTATTGTTAAGGAGAGTATTAAGTCTAATATTCAAAATTCTACCTTTCTGCCTATTTTTTGGTTGTAAGCACAACATTCAGTTCTTAATTTTCAACTGTAGTGGAGGTGTAGCTTTGTACCTCCAGCTAAGTAATGTAAGTAGTATTTGTGTGTATCTGTAGAGGTTAAAGCAGAAGAAAAAATCATAAATTCTTATGTATAAGGTATAAGTTGAAAGATCAAAAAGAAGAAATGGAAATTTCATTTGTCTCAAGAACTGAGTGTGATCATGTACTCTTTTCAAGATCTAAAAGAACATTTAAATGTCTGAGTTTCTAGTATGATTACCACAAATATGAAATCTGAGTTAAGTTTAATTTGGTATGTTAGAAATACTAGGAGATTGTGAAGCATTTAGTAATAGTAATTACAAAATGCTAGTTGTATTGAAAAAGTATTTCCAAAGATAATGAAATTATATATGTATTTGTATATGTATTTGTAAATTGTATATGTATAGGCATAATTTAAACATTTTTTTATGTCAGCATGATTTTCCACTTTTTCTAAAAGCAATCTCATTTCTAGATAATTCCTATGTCTTTAATGAAAACTGTTATTTACAGAAGAGGAAGAAGAAACTGAGGATACTGGATTGGATGATTGGGAAGCTATGGCCAGTGATGAGGAGAGAGAACAAGGTGAATAGCTCATAAGCACACGTTGATACATCTAGTGCTATTAGAGGTGTATGTACTAAAAGAGTAGTCTCCTGATCATGAAAGCCATATGAACATTCCTGGGGATGGGGACCAGTCTTGCTCTCTCCATTGCCATGATTCCTAAATCCTCATGTGAATCATCATTTTATGAATAAATGGTTTTTCAGAAGGCCATTTGTAAGATATCTGCCTGGAATTTAGAATACATTTTTTCAGAGTGACAATGTCATAAATGGGGTTAAGTTATTAAAGCTAGCCTATGAAAAGCCCCTTTTAATTTAAAATATAGTACAAAGATAATAGAAATAAATAGTATAGTTCCTAATCTCGATGAATAAAAGTATTTTTCTTTGTCATTACTTTTTTGTCCTTTAAACTAACGTATTATACAGAGTATAAAGATTACTATTACTTCCTTTGGGTTTAATTTACTGGCTTTTTTCCTAACTTCTTGAGATAGATATTTGGCTGTTTGATTGTGTAGCCTTTTTTCCCCTAATGTTTTTAAAACCATGAATTTTTTTTAAGCATGGCTTTAGCTAAATTCCACAGGTTCTGATAGGCTGATATTTTTTAATCGCCATTTTCTCATATTAACTGTTAACAGTGATTTATTTGGAATTGTATTTCTTAATTTACAAAAGTGGGGATTTTCTGATTATCTTTTTGTTACTTAATTGTGATTAGAGAGAGATGTTGAGACTTAATTTACAACCCAGGAAATGGTTGATTATTGTAAATGCTTAATATGCTATTGGAAAGAATTTTTATTCTGCTGTAGTTGGGTGCCTTGTTCTCTATATTTAGTTAAGTTTGCTGATCGTTTTGTTCAAGTCTTTTATATTTTTCTGAGGCTTTTTCCCTGGCCTGTTTTTTCTGTTACTGAGAGTGGTGTGTTAAAATTTCCCACCATGATTATAGATTGTCTGTTTCTCCCTAAGTTGTTAATTTTTACTTTACATATTTTGGTGCTATATTATTAGGTGAATACAGACAGCTTTTTGATGAATTGACTCTTTTATCATTTATTTATTGTTTATTTTATTTATATTTATTCGTTTCTAGCAATGCCTTTTGCCTTAAAGTATACTTTCTCTAGTATTAATATAGCTACGCCAGCTTTGATTTACATGATCTTTTTCTATCTTTGTTACTCTTTCTGTATCCTTAAACAGCATATAGTTGAGATTTTTAAGTTCAGTTTGTCAACCTTTATATTTTACCTAGATCATCTAACATGTGATGTAATTAATGAAGTATATTGGTTTTATATTTATCATCCTACTAAGTCCGTCTTGTTCTGTTTCTTTTCCTCTCCTTTCTAACCATGTTTTAGATGTTGGATTTTGTTTTTTTTTTAATTCCATTCTTTTCTCCTTCCATGAGCTTGGAAGTTGTGTACTTTTCCACTTTGAGTGGTTACTCTAAAGACTTTTAGCATAGATCTTTGAAGTAACAATGTCTAATGTTACCATCTTTCTAGACAATGCAAAAAACAGAATACATGAACAACATTTACCCAAGTCCCAATTAATATATCATTGTTCCTATTTAAATTAGTTCTTTTATAAGATTGGCACCTTAGCTAATATCTGTTGCCAGTCGTCTTCTTTTTTTTCTCCTCTTTCTTTTGCCCAAAGCCCTTCAGTATATAGTTGTATATTCTAGTTGTGGGTGCCTCTGGATGTGCTATATGGGACGCTGCCTCAGCATGACCTGATGAGCGGTGCCGTGTCTGTGCCCAGGATCCCAACTGGTGAAACTCTGGGCCGCCGAAGCAGAGTACACGAACTTAACCATTTGGCCATGGGGCTGGCCCCTGATTTAGTTCTTTTTTAAACCCCATAATAGCTTATTATTATTTTTTACAGTCAATATTTATTTAACTTTCCTCATATTCTTAGCTTTTTGTTATGCTTTGTTTCTTTCTGCATCTATGACCGTCCATTTGGGATCATTTCTTCCTGCCTAAAGAAGATCTTTTAAAATTTCCGTTAGTGTGAATCTGTTAGTGAGATGTTCCATTTTTGCTTTTGTAAAAATATCTTTCTCTCTTCTTCATTCTTTAAGGGTATATTTACTGAGTGAGGAATTCTTTGCTGAAATTCTGTTTATTTAATACTTTGAACATATTATTTCCTTGTATTGGCTTTCATTGTTTCTGTCGAGAAGTCAGATATCAGCCTAAATTTCTCACGTGTCTTGGTTTTCAGCAGTTTTATTTTATTATGATGTGGCCAGAGTTGATTTTTTTTATTCTGCCTGTAGAGCTTTATGAATATATGGTTTTATGTTTTTATCAGTTTTGCAATGTTATGAGTCACTATTTCCCCTCAGGGATTCTATTTATGTCTATGATACACATTCTTAGTATATCGTTCTTTCCTTTCCTCTTTTCTGTATTTTTTGCCTTACTGAGTCTTCATGGTTCATTCTATATTGTTTCTTCTTATCTGTCTTCTGGTTCTTTAATTTTCTCCTCAGCTGTTTCTACTCTCCTATTAAACACATCTCTTGAGTTCTTAATTTTATCTCATGTATTTTCCAGTTTTAGAGTTTCCATTTATTTTTTCTAGTTTTTTACTTTCTAAAATTTTTAATCTTTTGTTTCCTGGATGTTAGAAGCATAGTCATTTTAACTTTTGGTTTTACAACTTCAATATATGGAAACCCTGTGGGTGTCTGTATGCTGATTTCCCAAATGTGAATTGTTTTTCCATATGGCTTATTGTTTTTACGTACCATGCTGGATATTATACTTGTAAAACTGTAGAAATAATTTGAGGTCAAGAATGGTGATTTTTTTTTTTTTCCAGAGAGAATTTATATGTACATCCACCAGGAGTCTGAGTAAACTAGCAATATGGAATCATCTTATTCTAAATTTATTAAGACAATCTTAGGGTATAATGGGGAGGCCCTGTTTCCTTCCTGTGCATCTGTACAGCTAAGGTTCAGTTCTTAAGGATTTCACCACATAGTAAGGGCATTACCCAATGTCTGCTTCCCTGAATCCTTTGTAGGCCCAATGCCTGGACCTCTAAGCACTGAGGGGCTATTAAAAGAACTGCTTAGCCTTTCAGCTGCCTCCTCCAGAATCAGCAACTGATCCCAAGGGGAAAGAAGTACTCCCTGGGTTTCTGTCCTCTGTCGTATCCTGGTTTAGTAATGCTTTTCTTTTTTATTAGCTTAAGTGTGGATTAATGCATTAAGTTTTTACTGTTAAATGGCAGTTGTAATTGTAGCATGTACATAAACACTTTATATTTATGATGCATGAAAACATTAATTTGGAATTGATGTATTAGAGTGTTACTGTGTTACTTAGTAGACTTTCAGTATTATTTTCCCTTTAAGATCTCTGTTATCTTGATAGAAATCTGTTATTTTTTACTTTCATTTCTTTTAAAATCTCTTTGTTTTCCTAAAAGAAGGAAACACCGTGCATATAGAAGTAAAAGAGAACCCTGAAGAGGAAGAGGAGGAGGAAGAAGATGAAGAGGAAGAAGAAGACAGTGAAGAGGAAGAGGAAGAAGAAGGAGAAAGTGAAGGCAGCGAAGGTGATGAAGAAGATGAAAAGGTGTCAGATGAGAAGGATGCAGGGAAAACATTGGATAAAAAATCAAGTAAAGAACTGAGCTCAGAATCTGAATATGACTCTGATGATGATCGAACTAAAGAAGAAAGAGCTTATGACAAAGCAAAACGGAGGATTGAGGTATTTATTTGTCCCTTTCTGTTTACTCCTTCCTTCCCCATTCCTCTGTGATCATTAGCCCTGTACTCTACAACTAAAGGCTTTTATTGAGCAGCACTTTTGAAAATACAGTCTCAGAGTGGTATCTTGTCCAGTTTTTGTAATGTTGAGAGTAATAGATCTTTCACACTGGTCTCACCCAAGGACTTCACTCTCCTACCTAAGTCACAATGGTAATTGCGTCATCATTTTTTTTTTCCTTTCTCCAAATTTTTATCTACGTTTTGAGTGGTGGTTTCTAATAGATATAGGGAAGTATGTTGAGCATATGCCTTCTAGTTATCAACATTCATTGTTTGCCTTGCAAAATTTGGTTAGTCACTACGCAGCATCTGATCACTTTAGTTGTTTAAATCTCGGGTTAATGAGGCTTCTATTTAGGAAAATCTACATGCCCAACAGGCTTACCGTATTTTTCCTACTTAATGCAGTATACTTCAAGAGAAAGTTTTCTTTAGTTATATCAGCTTAGTATAAATAATACACTAAAAACTTAGTTTGCTTGAGAATGCAAAACTATTTTAAAGCTAAAAACTATTTTAAACTTTAAAAATATTTCAGCTTTCCTTCATCTTTTCATGTATAATTCTAATTTTTTAATTTTTTGTTTTAATAACCTCAATATCAGTGTTTGCCTTTTCCTTCTGTAAAGTCTGGATAGGGATAAATTTTCTGAATTTCTAAAGGACTGGAAAGATCTATTCTGATAAATTGGGATTTCTCAACCTTGGCACTACTGACATTTTTGGCCAGATAATCCTTTGTTGTGGGGGACTGTCCTCTTCATTTTAGGATGTTGAGCAGCATCCTTGCCCTCCACCCACTAAATACCGGTAACTTTCCCCTCCTTTCTCTTGGTTGTAACTGTTTCTTCCCACAGCACCTACTCAAGCCAGCTCCCTTGCTCTGTACTCATATGTGAGAGACAGTTTGTACTGTGTGTGATGATTTACAAACAAAAGGGGTATAAAGCAGAAAGTAAAAGTTCCCCTATTATCTCACTTCCCAGACTTGATGTGTCTGTGAGCTTCAAGTTTTTAAAGATGTTTAATTAAAAATAAGGTAATAAATTTTGTTGATGGGTGTTTTCTTCACATAGCAATATGCTATGGACCTCTTAGCTCAACAAGTTTTTGAGCAGCTTTGTTGAAATATGATTTACATACCATAAAATTGATCTAAGCGTACAATTCACTGACTTTTTAAAATTTACAGAGTTATGCCACTATCACAGCAGTTCAACTTTAGAATATTTTCATCACCCTCAGAAAGATTACTTGTGCTAATTTGCAGTTGTTCTCCATTCTTAGCAGCAGGCAACTAATCTACTTTCTGCCTCTATAGAGTTGTCTTCTCTGGAAACTTCATATAAATTCAATCTTATAGTGTGTGGTCTTTGTATCTGGCTTATTTCACTTACCCTGTTCATCTATGTGGTAGCTGTATCAGTACTTTGTTCCTTTTTATTGCCAAATAGTGTTTTGTTGTATAAATATACCATATTTTATTATTATTCATTCACCAGGTAAAGATGTTTGAGTTGTTTTTACTATTTGGCAATTATGAATAGTACTGTTATAAACATTCTCTTATGAGTCTTTGCGTGTAAATGTGTTTTCATTTCTTTTGCATATACTTTTAGGAGTGAAGTTGCTGGATTGTATGGTAAATTTGTGTTTAAATTTTTCAGAAACTGCTAAACTATTTTCCAAAGTGACTGCACAATTGTAGATTCCCACCAGTTGAGGATTCTCGTATCCCTACATTCTCACTGATACTTGTTGTCTGTCTTTTCAATTACAGCCATTCTAGTGTATGTGAAGTAGTATATCTTATTGTGGTTTTAGTTTGCATCTCCATGATGCTGAGCATTTCTTCATGTACTTGTTGGCCATTTGGTATCTTCATTGGTGAAACATCTCTTCACATCTTTGTCCATTTTTAAGTTTTGTAATTTGTCTTATTACAATTGAGCTATAAGAGTTCATTTTTTTAATAGTTTCTTTTGATGCGAATAAATTTTTACTTTTGATAACATCCAGTTTATCGAATTTTTCTTTTCTAGAGCATGCCTCTGGTGTTGTATTGAAGAAATCTTTGCCTACCCCAAGATCATGAATATTTTGTCCTGTTTTCTTCTAAAATCTTTATACCTTTAGTTCCTTCTACCTTTAGCTCTATGATCTATTTTGAGATAGGTTTTATGTATCATGTGAGATGAGGGACTGAACTCATTTTTTGTGAGTTTATCCAGCATCATTTTTTTTTTTTTTTTTTTTTTCACTTCTTGGTTTTTTTTTTTTAAGTCTGACTTCCTAGGGCTTATTCCTGAGTCTGCTTATCTTACTGGTCAGCCAAATGATTTGTCACTAGTTGTGCTTAAAGATCTTGAATCACTAAGGCTTTCACTGTTTTCCAATGGATCTGGCAGTTTACTTAGTCCTCTTTGGTTTTTACATAATGCATTCACAGGGCCTCTCTTCAGCCAGGAATAAGGAACTCACTGAGGACCTCTCTGGTCTCTTTTGACAGCTTTCCGCAGGAAAGCCTTCTAGACCACCAGAGATAAGTAGGATCTTATCAGTGACTACTTTGGCTGTCTTCTTCCACAGACCTCCCTGTTAAGTTTTTGACTGATCTTCCAGGTTATCTCTTGACCCACCAGTATTGAGAACTTAGTCTAGTTATGACTTCAGCTTTATGTCTTTGTTTGCCCTTGAAGTCACTACTGTTTTTGATAGTGCTCTGAGGTGTGAAATCCCAGCCTCCTTTCTCGTACCACTTTTGCCCCATAGAGCTGTGGGAGTGAGGGGAGTGTGACGGAGCAACTCCAGTCTAAAATTCCACAGGCTTCCCTTCTTTTATTGACAGTCAGTTGATTTTCTTGATTTAAATGTTTTTCAATTTGATATATGCCTTTGGTCAATTTCTGGAGTCTTAAAGGGGTTCTTTTGTTCTGACTGTTTTGTTCAGTTTCATGTTTCCTTTTTGTGGAGAGGATTTGCTGAACTCCTCATTCCATCATTCAAGAAGTCCTACCTTGATATCTTTAACAGATACATGTGGTATTCCATTTTATAGAAGGATCCTAGTTTAACTTGGTATTAGTCTGCTGGGCTGCCATGACAAAATACCACAGACTGGGTGGCTTAGGCGACAGAAATTTATTTTCTGACAGTTCTTGAGGCTAGAAGTTCAAGATTGAAGAGCCAGCAGAGTTGTTTTCTGGTGAGGGCTCTCTTCCTGGCTTGCAGACAACTGCCCTCTCACTGAGTCCTCACATGGCCTTTCCCCAGTGCATGCTCAGAGATTTTTCATTTCTCCTGCTCTTATAAGAATACCAGTCCTGTTGGATTAGGGCCCTACCCTTATGACCTCATTTAACTTTCATTACCTCCTTACAGGCCCTTTCTCCAAGTAGTACGAATTTGGGAGAGATACAGTTCAGTTCATAACAAACTTCATGGTTCCCAAACCTTGCTACATACTATAATTTTCTGAAATTCACCTCAGACTTCCTGAGTAAGAACCTCCAGTGTGGATAGGGGTCTCTACCTACATGATTCTATGCATCCAGATAGTTATCAGCCCTGGGGTTTAGGAAGCACTCATTAAGAGATCCCCTGCTAAAGAAGATTAAGTGGTTACTAATTTTTACTATTTTAAACACTACTGCAGTGAATACACAGTGTTGTACACAAGTATCCTTGTGTCATTGCCTCATGACAGATATTTAGAGGTAGAATTTCTGAGTTAAAGTCTATACTACATTGCCCTCCAAATTTAACACTTCCATTTTCAGCCACATCCAATCCTAACTAAGGTCCTGATATTCACATTTGAGTTGTACATACTGTGAAGCTGTTGTGTACTACTTTCTGCTAGTAAATAACTTGCATGTCACTTTTGACCTTCCAAAATGTTTTTTCATTCCACTTTCTACAGAAAGATCCACTGTCTAGTGGTAGAAATGAAAGTAAAGACTTCTTACAGACATGGTTTTTAAATGGAAAATAGTTTTGTAAATGGTGTCACTTCAGAGTTTTGATGAAAGTCTTACCTCTTTCGAATGCCAACTTTACTATACTTGAAAGGCTCTCATTCCAAAGAACTGCTGGCATAGGTTTTTTTTTGGTTCTCAGAAAGCTACAGTATTTAGGTAAATGCTACAGAGAAACACATTTTGATTCAAGGCTAAGCTTTCTTGCACTTAGTGGTATCTTAAGAAGGTAAAAAATATCGTTGGACATCTTAGCCTGAGGCTTAAATAGCCCTCTCCTAATTAAAAGGTTTTGTACACGGGATAAAGTGTTGAAATAAAATGCTTTAATGTTTTTGACAATTCTTAAGTTTTAGTGTTTTTGTTTTTGTTTTTTTGCTTGTACCACTCTATTTTTGTTGAGGTTATAATATTTTATAACATTGCAATATTTCACTTATACGTTATTCAGAGTCTCTTTGAATTGTTGATTTCAAGTTCTTTCGATAAAAACCCAGTAGTGGGACAGCTGGGTCATATGATATTTCTATTTTTAATATCTTGAGAAATCTCCATACTGTTTTCCATAGTGGCTGCTCCAGTGTGCATTCCCACCAGCAGTGTATGAGGAGTCCCTTTTCTCTACACCCTCTCCAGCATTTGTTATTTTTTGTCTTGGTGATGATACCATTCTAACGGGTGTAAGGTGATATCTTAGTGTAGTTTTGACTTGCATTTCCCTAATGATTCGTGATGTTAAAGATCTTTTCGTCTGCCTGTTCGCCATCTGTATATCTTCCTTAGGAAAATGTCTATTCATTTCCTCTGCCCATTTTTGGATCCAATTGTTTGTTTTTTGTTGTTCAGTTCTGTGAGTTCTTTATATATTTTGGAGATTAACCCATTGTTGGATGTATGCTTTGTAAATATTGTCTCCCAGTTGGTGGGTTGTCTTTTCCTTTTCTTCCTGGTTTCCTTTGCC